AAAAAATGTATTTTAATGAATTGACACATTATTTGGGAAGTTCTGTTTGGCTGTTATGCATCCAGAAGGTTCTTTATTTTACATTGACATTTTAGTTATTTAGCAGACGCTCTTATCCATAGTGACTTACATTCATCTTAAGATAGCTATGTGAGACTTAAGTGATAATGCCTGAGAAGCCAGTGTTTGGAGGATATATTGGCACGGGGTGGCAAACCGTGCCAATATATCCTCCAAACACCGGCTTCGAGGGCATTATCACTTTTATACAACGGGTTACCAACATAATCAAATAATGATTGACATATTTTCATAAAAAAATGTATTTTAATGAATTGATTCATACTATTTCATCCTTCCACAAGATATAGTCCCGACACAAATCTAGGGTTACTACCCAAGCCGGCTGGTAGTTTGATCTATCGGTTCGGTTGCCAGAGACGCGACCCAGTCGTTCAGTCTTTTTGTTCTGTATCTATGGACCCAGTCGTTCGTTCAAAATTCATTCTGGCTGGCAACGTTCTTATCCCTTGCTTGCTAGCTAGCCAACTATGGCTAACTTACAGTCACGTCAAACAGTGCAGGCAGAATAACAACAGTAGCTGCATTTGCGTTTGTTTAAGCTGTTTTCTAGTAACATTTATTTGGACACATCCATAACAATGAGCTAATGAGGCGCGATTTCACCTGGCATAGAAAACGTGCTCTCTCGCCAGGACACTGTTGTTCAGAGGAGCTAGCCAACAACACAGCTAACACAATCACTTCAAACTGAAGCTGGAAAGACTGCAAACAAGCTGCACTTCATTTCGTTTTAACTTTTTTCAATGTACATTTCTTTGTATATATCCATAAAAATTATGCCAGGTGATTAATGATTTCGACTGGCTGAGAAACGCTGCCTGCCTGTCTGTCTCGTCCCAACTCCCGACACGTTCATTACTATGGGACAGCTGGAGATTGAATTTGAATATTGAAACAATTTTACAAAAGTCTGAGAAAACAGACAGCAAGGTTTATACAAATCTCCGCTGTTGAAAACTAAATGTTAGTCTAAAATAAATGTGAGATAATGTCTAGATGCGTTTTATAGTGGAGATCAAGTTTATAAATTGCCTGGCTGGGCTGATGAGACAGTGGATTGCGCAGTCAGATGGAACAGATTAAATAGGCATTTTAACGTCATATATTTAGCCGGTGGTAACTAGTGGAATAGACACCGGCTGTAATGTTGTTTTAACCAATCAGCATTCAGGATTAGACCCACCCGTTGTATAAAACCACATATCACAGTCATAGCAAGTACATTTTATGTTGTATGATTGTCTGGCATTACGATTTAGATTACAATGTATTACTTTTCTCTGTTTGAACTATTCTCCAAGGATTACTTTGTCTTTCCACAGGGGTTATGCAGTGAGGCATAAGGAGGATACGAGGTCATTGGTTTGATGTCAGAGGGTTATTCGTTAATGGTTATATAATCCTGGATGGATTTAATACTGGGATTATGCTCCAGCAGAATTGTTCCATGTCTATAGATAGCATCATGGGTTTACCTCACTGAATAAACACAGCTAGATAATACCAAAATGGACTGTTTATACCAGAACACTTTGCCCATCAAAACAAGGAATTTATATCAACTGCTTGTTGAAATCCTTAGGCCTATATGTCACTGGTTGAAGTAATTGTCCACCATGTTTTTTTCTTTCTTGGTTTCATCATATTAAGTACAAAGCCCTTCGTATTGCAACGCCATAAAATAATTCTGATACATACAGTACTGTATGATAAAAAAAATGGAAGAATTTTGTAAACAGAGAGCCTAGAACTTTAAAGAACTGAAGGTGTCTTTTGAAGTCACTGTTTAACTAACGGTGGGAAGCTCTCTCAGGTCGGCTTTTTCACATTTCCATTTCATAAGGCTCAGTGCGTCAGCCATCAGTGTGCACAGAAATAGCAGTGTTTTTTTTATTTTTTTATTAAACTGCTCTCACCGAAATGATTTATTTATATCCAAGCAGAGGTGATGTAAGCCATTCTAATAGCTGTGCTGCCTGTTGTGGATGGATGGAAGGTGCAGGGGAGAGACCCAGAGAGCCCTGGCTGGAGAACAATTGATGCAGCCTCACAGAAACAGCCCACCCCACAACTCCATGATCAATGCTGCAATGCAGTTCATTAAGCATAAAATGGACTCATTATGATAATTTAATCTACTGAAAAATACAACGATTATATATAGCAGTGTGTCTATTAGTATGTTTGCATGTCTAGTTGTAATAACGCACTTGAAATAATTGCCTTGGTGAAGAAAACGTAATGTGAAAACAAAAGGAGCCATAGAGGGAATAGTGATGAAGGATATGCCTCTTGGTTGGTTAATACTGTTGCCAGGCCAAAATAACATTGCTTTTATGTAAATAGGGTATCTCCCCATCTCTCCTGTCTATCTTCCATAAACGTTTGACAGTTAGGGTGGCATGCCAGTTGGCTTTTCAATTCCCAATAGGAGATAAAGCAATCCACTTCCTCTCAGAGATGATTTATCCTGTGCCATTCATCTGAAAGTGTTTGGATCCCTGAAGAACCTCCCAGTCCAACACTGAGAGACAGACAGCAGGCCCAGACTATATAACCTGCTCTGCCAACTCCATTTCTCTGTTACTCCTTTCAGATGGATTCAGCTTCCTTCAGCCTTTTGAGGGTTGATGCACTGTAGTCGTGGTCACTGGCAAGTCATCTAAATGGTGAATTTCATTGTTTTGCATGTGAACGCAAGGTGTGACACTCTTTCCAAGAAATGTTCTCGTTTGTCATATAGTTACAGAGTTTTACAATGCTTCTTATATCTGGAAATAGTGGACTGCTGATATCATATATATATCATATACATATCGTCTGCCTTTTTACAAATCGGCACAATCAGAATTAACACTGTCCTGAGATCAGGTGGTGAAATTACAGAAAAGTTGGCAGAATAGTTTTGAAACACCGACAGTGATCTGACCGGTCAGGTTTTTGTCAGGAGGGAAGAGAGCCAAAATCAAAGGTGTGGGTCCAAAAGCATTCCTCATCCTGAGGAAGCGGCTATTCCTTCCTCTCATCAGGCCTGGATTGATTTAGGAAAATAGAAATCCATCGCAGGGAACTGTCTAAACATGAAGAGCATTTCAATGTTAGATGAAAGTGAGGAAACAATGTAGAACCATAACACACAATGATCCTTCTAACTCTAGAACCAATACTGATCCTTCCAATTTGTAAGTCGCTCTGGATAAGAGCGTCTGCTAAATGATGGAAATGGAAATGGAAATGTAGAACCAATAATGATCCTTCTAACTCTAGAACCAATAATGATCCTTCTAACTCTAGAACCAATACTGATCCTTCTAACTCTAGAACCAATACTGATCCTTCCAATTTTTAAGTCGCTCTGGATAAGAGCGTCTGCTAAATGATGTAAATGTAAATGTAGAACCAATAATGATCCTTCTAACTCTAGAACCAATAATGATCCTTCTAACTCTAGAACCGATAATGATCCTTCTAACTCTAGAACCGATAAAAGGGGAAATGTATTTTTACCCCCTCCCCTCTCTTTCTCCCTTTTCTTTTGCCTAACATAAGAGATTTCAGAAATGTACAGGTGTCTAAATACTTCTGTTACGTCTATGATTTGCGTTCCCCCTACATTAGACAGAGAGTACTACATTGCATGTGCCCTCTGGGATGTGACTTAGCAGTGGGGAACATTGACATACTGTAGTATAGCTTGGAGCATGCTAAGTGCAATTAATTTTGCAACGCTGCTTTTTTGCATTGAGGCGTATGGCTACATCTCCATGTCAAAAAATATATCTTTGTCTTTTCATAAAGTCTCTGTTAACATTATTTATTTAGATGGGGTTATTTTGTACTTTGGCTGTTGTATATTTTATACGTTTAACTTCAAAAGGCGAAGCGGGTTGACTAATCATTTTTGTAAAAGATGAAGCCTCTTAAAATCAAGACAACAGCCCCATGTGAAAGACGTGGAGGGAGAACAAAGGAAAATGCTGCACAACAAAAATGAATCTTTGTAGACTAAAACAAACAATCCCAAACCCGGTCATTCACGTGCTATAGACTGACTCAGGGACACAGTATGACAATACCTTGGCACAGAGGTCAGGGGGAATACAAACAGACTAAAAGTAATCTCACTCAAGACAAGGGTATTAACATGTGGATAAAGAGTAATGAGCACCAGTTCTTGGTTTGTTAGTTGGTTCTGACATTACAACTGTCATGCTCAGAATAGCTTCATCCATTTGTATATGGAGAATGGAGTTGACATCTGTCACGAACATTCTAATCACATATAATGTAGGATTTGTGCTGAAAATAGTGACCACCTAGTAGGTAGAGTATCTTATATCTGGCAAGAAATATCAGACAAGCAGAGGTCAAGTTTGACCACAACTACTGTAAGTCTGCCACTCTTCCTAACATTAGTAAAATACAGAGCAACAGGAAGGAGGGGCTTGTCATTTTCCTTCACGATCTCCTTGATTATGATAAATATGTACATACTTGTATCTATTGTGGAACTAATGTGCACTTTTTCCAAAATTGATAACTTTACATAGAATCAAATACAGTATGTATTTTAATAGTGATCTCCCTGGGGGGTTATGTAACAATCTGAATGCAAACTATGTCCCAGAGTACATTCAATATCTTTATATTGTATGTATAGATACTGTATGTCATAGATTGTTACATAAACTAAGCAGATCTCGCATAGAGGCCGTGATGTCACCCATAGTAAAATGAGGACTCTATTCTACGTGTCAGGTTTACAGAGCATTTACACGTTTGCAAAATATTCTCCTGTTATTTTCAGAGGGGAATAAAAGAGCCAAAAAATAATTTAGATTTTACCTTGATATAACTTATTTGTATTATTTAGTCTGTATGTTTTATTCCCCATTGAAAACAACAGCTGTAAACTCTTAGTAGACCTGTCCCTGAATGTAGAGTTGGATTAATGCGGTAGATACCGTAGAGATCTCCTGGTCTGCTTCCTCCTGTTCACTCCTCTCACTGAGATAGCGGCCTGGAGTTCTCTGCACAATGACAGCATGATCAAACACAGGAGACACTGGTTAACGCTGATGCTCTGACCTCGATCGCCATAGTGCTGCAATCTAAGATTACCGCATCTCAGTTTCACTGGGAGTCTAGGACCAAGCTTGGCATTCTCTTTGTTTTTGGAGAAAGGCCAAGCAAAAAGTAGTCTGTGCGTATTATGTAACGCAAAATCCCTTTTTGTGATTCTTGCATAAATAGTGTTACATTTTTATATATTTGTGAAAAGTCCTGTGGTCTTTCAAAGCCATGCAATGGTGTCCATGTGGTCCCTAGAAACTCTTCAGCTAGTCACATTATTACATTATTACACTGACTTCTACTTGAATAAAGGCATTGACTAAACACTGCCTTATGCAAATATTCAAATAAACCATAACTTGGCCATCAATCAACTGTGATAAACGATAATAGATACGGCTACTGTGCTGTGCATGAAAGACAAAAGGGTAGGAAATGTTAACTACAAAAAAAAGTATTGATGAATTGTAAATATAAAAAAAAATGACTTCAATGATAAAATACTTCAATGCATGTTGATCAACAGAATGTAAAGGGTTGAGGTCTGCTGACATCACAGCCCTGTTTGCTACGTCTCTTGATAGAACTTGTCAAATGTGAGGGTTACATTTCCATATGAAAGGCTAACTATAATACACAGCTGCATGGTTCTGCCTGGTAATAAAGCATTCAATCGCTCCCATGAGGTTTCTGGAGCCATGATCGAGTCCCATGGTGTGTTGGCAAAATACATGCCCACAAAGCCCAAATGTCAGTGCTTTGACAGGGGCTCATTCAAGTCTTAAGTGCAAGGAATGCGTGGCCACCTTTTTGTGTGTTCCAGCTAAGAGCCTCTCATGATACCATATTAATATGGACACATGGAGGGAAAGAGGTTAGTTCTACTTAACCTGAAACCCTGGAAGCTATCTTTTTTATTGGTTGGAATTACGTGGCAAATGTTCTATTTAAGCTGCTAAAAGAAAGAGTGTCATGGTTTGTGATCACTCCTTGTTCCCAATGCTCCTGCTCTTTGAAATATTAACAGACCTCACATGTGTTTAATGCGGATGTATTATTGGGAAATCTGACTGAATGGGGGAATTCAATTTGACATGTTTCTAATACGGTTAGCTTTGTTTTGACGTTCCGTAAGCCAAGAGTTCAGTAGATACAGTATAACACAGTTGACCTGATTGTATTGTTCTTGTGCTGCACCGTTCCCAACAACAATGACTCCCGATTTACTCATGAGTCTGAGGAAACATTCCTCATTGGTTAACAGAGGATATCAATAGGAGAAAGACTATTTATTGAAATATTTGATACTACCTCAAGTTTAAATCTTTAAAATGCCATCATCATGATGCCTCTATGAATTGTGGAACAACGTGTTTTCCTCACGCTGCAGTATGTCACATAGATTTTTTAGGATGAGGCAACATTTGGAAAACAACACAATGATCAATCACATAATTTTTTTGCATTTCTAAATAGTAAGCAATGACAAAATTAACTGTGATCTCGGAAAATGTGTGTGGTGAATCTCAACAAAACACTAAAAGTATGGTCAGATATTGAATCTGATGTCTCAGGCAATTCAGGCATAATATTGTTTATCTAATATACACTCAAATAATTTGAACTTGATTTGAATCAAATATGATTTTTTAATCTGCACATTTATTCCACTCAGCGGACACAAAGTATTGCACATAGTGAGCTCTTCACAGTCAATCACTCACTTCCCATACTCCCCAGACATTCCTGAAGCTGTGTACAGAGTAGCACAGTACAGCACAGACCATCTCTTACCTTGAGTTTCTCATAGCGGTCACTGAGGGCAGCTACTTGGTGGTCCCGATGCCGACCAATCAGTTTGCACAAGGCACAGATCAACTGTTCATCTGTGACACAGTACATGTTCACCTTCTCTTCCTCGTGCTCCAGACACATGAGTCCCTTGAGGTGGCAGTCCGGCATGGGCTCGATCAGACGGTGGCTGGTGAAGGGCTTCTTATTGGGGTGGGTGGCTTTCAAGCACTCGTCGCAGTAGGACACCTCGCAGGTGACGCAGGTCTTGACGGCATCCTGGGGAGGGTCCTGCTCACAGAACTGGCACTGCACCGTCTCGCTGGGGGAGGTCATGGCCGTGCCGTCCGGGGCGGCCCGCTCACGGCGAGTCTCGCTTGGAGAGTTGGGCCCGCTTACGGAAGCCTTCTGGAATCGGTCGATGATGTTCTGCAAAGTGACGTTACGCTTCAGTCCCTCTAGGCCCCTCTGGGTGAGGGTGATGACATAGCGACAGGTTGGGCACTGGAAGGCGCCGATGGACTGCACAGGCTCGTTGGGGCTGCACTGGGAGATCAGGATACGGTGGGCACAGTTGAAGCACAGGCTGTGAGCGCAGGGCAAGAGCAAGGGGTCCTCGAAGAGCTCCAGACAGATTGGGCAGGTCAGCTCCGACTCCAGTGTTTCCATCTTCACACACAACAAAGCGATGTCGTCAGCGAAATCCAGGGAAGCTGATCAGCTATCTGTAGGGATGACATGGACTTCATCATTAGAGAATGGGAGAGAGAGAGAGAGAGAGAGAGAGAGAGAGAGAGAGAGAGAGAGAGAGAGAGAGAGAGAGAGAGCGAGCGAAAGAGAGAGAGAGAGAAGCAAGGGGTTCAAAAGGGTTAAACTGTAGGGGGTTGTCAACTTTTCCAGAATATAAATTAATGAGTGGCCTTGCCACATTCCTGATCTAAATAACACTGGAGATTACTTGGCGTACTAGAGGAATAAATAGCAGGTATTGGATAACACATCTCTGGTATCTTTATCAGGAGTATTGAATGAAATGCAGACGCTTCTAACTGAGTTACAGCGTATTCTAAACCCCTTACAGAAATACAAATTAAAGCTCAATCGAAAATGAAAGTTGTTTGGTTAAAAAGTAAAGAAATACATGTCGATCTTGAGTTCCCTTGAACTAATTCCTACATCTTTTATAGGGAGGTGCATCTGTCCTTATTCCCTGTGATGCAACAGCCAAACGAATTGGGAAGAACAAACAAACGCTGCATTTTTTATACGAGCTTTGAATTGTAAAAAATAAAAAAAAAGTTTTAGTCAATTAGCAGACGCTCTTATCCAGAGCGACTTACAGTTAGTTTTGATGATATAACTCTGGAAACACCGTAAATTAGTCATTTTTCTGTCAAGTGGCCCATGTCTATGGAGAGGCTTGGTTAGGCTAGCAAGCTAGCTAGCCCAGGGCAGTGAAGCCAGACAGCTCACTGAAGCAGAAGTCCTTGCCTGCTCACGGCTGGAACTCCTTGCTGTGACTGGCCTGACGGACACAGAGCCTTTGTTCCAGGCCAGTCGGAACACCCCAGCTGTGAGTGGACGCACTGTGTCTGTCACGTCTCCGCGTGTGAACTCTCTACCTCCACTCGTTATGTGTGAAAGAAGGCAGAAGCTCGTTATCAGGCCAGCCGGGCACAAGTTGTCTTTGAAGTTGAGGATACAGAAACTGTGCAGAAAGCTACAGCTGCAAGCCAGGTTTGTTTCCCCTCCTATTCAGTTGAAATCCACAGAGGCACTCAGCTAACCTACTGTAAGAGACAATTGTTGCACTCGTCTCACATGTCTGTGATGCAGACAATATGAATTCATCTGTGGGGCTTTGTTGTGCTTCTGTTGGTGCTTTGTCCGGACATGGAGTTTGTTTTAACAAAAACCTGCTCTCTGCTATCCAAGTTGATGAGCCAAGCCAACGTACGGTGTAGGTTACTGCATAGCAGTTGCCAGAAAAATACACTCAAATATTACTATGGTTTATGGTTTCCGGCATTAAAAAATAGAGTATATTCTTAACATCGTGACCTTGAACACTCAAGAGACATTTCAGAAATCATACATTTGAAATGCAATATTAAATTATCAATTTGAAATGCACAGTGCACACAATATAACATTTTGATAGTTTGAACACTGAAGTAAATTCATCTGGTGAAATGGAAGTTATAAAATCTCAACAGTAAGATTAGTGCTCAGGTCTAATACGAATAGCTGTAGAATTAGGAGTGGCTACTTAATCCATACTCCATCACTGTCCTGACATGTTTGTCTGTCATAATGTGTGGACAAGTATTCCACAAATCAAACACAACTCAACTGACACATACACTCTTAGAAAAAAAGGCGCTATATCTAGAACCAAAAAGGGTTCTGCGGCTGTCCCCATAGGAGAACCCTTTGAAGAACCCCTCTTGGTACCAGGTAAAACCCTTTTGGGTTCCATGCGGAACCCTTTCCACAGAGGGTTCTACATGGAACCCAAAAGAGTTGTACCGGGAACTAAAAAGGGTTCACCTATGGGGACAGCCGCAGAACACTTTTCGAACCCTTTTTTCTAAGAGTGTATGTCTGAATATTTTGTTATATTTCCTCTAAGTAAATGACAATACAACAGTAGCATGCAAATATCCTGCCATGTGTGACGAACATGATTAAGTCTCCATTCACTGAAGCCAAATAATAGTTAATAAATATGCAAAAGATCTAAGAGCTTTGCGTGAAGAACACAATGCAAATACTGAACACAAAGACAAATGTCCCAGCCTTGATGTCATCATACAAACCTACAAAAGCCCTAGAGTTACACTAAAACCCTGTCAAAGTACACTGTGGCAGAGAGCCAGAGGAAAGTGCTTCACATCAACTGCACCTTACTCCACTCCACTTGCAAGTTTTCCATTCACACACAGTTTACTTTACCCACCGATGGATTTCGCCCCGCTTTGTACTGCAGAGACATTTCGGTTGAGGGTGAACTTCTGACCCAAATCATGAAAGCATATTATAACAACAACAAAGGAAACGAGGCGGTGGCGGTGTGCAGTAACAGACTGTGGAGAATCCAGATAACACCAGTCTTCATAAGGCAGTAATCCTGCTGTGTCGGAGCAGGGCTGTCATTAACCAGGAACCAGAGACAGAGAGCAAGAGGTAGCAAGTAGCCAGCACAACAGGAAGAGCTGCCCCACAATTCCAGGACAGAGGGCTCCACCTACAGTAGGAGAGAGCACTCACTGGAAATACAGGCAAAGAGAGAGAAGAGAGAGAGACAGAGAGAGAGAAGAGAGAGTAGAGAATAAAAGAGAGACAGAGAGAGAGAGAGAGAGAGAGAGAGAGGCCGGACATAAGCAGAGACAGCGCTCTCCAGGACCCCAGGGGTAGGCCTAGTCAGTGTAACTCTGGCCCTCCCACAGGACAGGCAGGTCAGTGTCCTCTGCCCACTGAGCTGTAAACCAGAGAGGAGAAAGAGAGGAGAGCGTCAGGATCAGTTTCCCTCTGTGACCGTCTCTTCTGCCTCTCCAGCGGCACAATGCTGCCCTGTGTGGCGGAACTTTTCTTAGCTCTGTCACCAGGGATAACAAAATGAGAGAAAGGCTGACGATACACATGCACACAAATACACACGCATGCAGTAACGCAGGCACGCACACGCACACACACACACACACACACACACACACACACACACACACACACACACACACACAGGGGATGGGTTGTGATTGGAGCAGGGACAGGGGACTCTGATTCCCTATGCTCCCAAACAACAAGCTGACCTGGAACACAAGGATTACATCACAATCTGTACTCTCTCTCTCTCTCTCTCTCTCTCTCTCTCTCTCTCCCTGCTCAAACCGTCAGTGTCTCTCAAATGTCTCACTGAGTTGAGGCAGTAAGCATACAACGTTTCACAAAATCATTTTTAGATTACAAAAGAGAGGTAAGACTTTCCATCACATTTCTAGCCCTCCCCCAAGACCAGTAAAATCTGTAAAAATGTGTCTCTCCACCACATGAAACTTCCCAGTGTGTTCATGATAAACTCTGTGTTCATCTGTTCCAGTGTGTTCATGATAAACCCTGTGTTCATCTGTTCCAGCGTGTTCATGATAAACCCTGTGTTCATCTGTTCCAGCGTGTTCATGATAAACCCTGTGTTAATCTGTTCCAGTGTGTTCATGATAAACCCTGTGTTCATCTGTTCCAGTGTGTTCATGATAAACCCTGTGTTCATCTGTTCCAGTGTGTTCATGCTAAACCCTGTGTTCATCTGTTCCAGTGTGTTCATGATAAACCCTGTGTTCATCTGTTCCAGTGTGTTCATGATAAACCCTGTGTTCATCGGTTCCAGTGTGTTCATGATAAACCCTGTGTTCATCGGTTCCAGTGTGTTCATGATAAACCCTGTGTTCATCTGTTCCAGTGTGTTCATGATAAACCCTGTGTTCATCTGTTCCAGTGTGTTCATGATAAACCCTGTGTTCATCTGTTCCAGTGTGTTCATGATAAACCCTGTGTTCATCTGTTCCAGTGTGTTCATGATAAACCCTGTGTTCATCTGTTCCAGTGTGTTCATGAGAAACCCTGTGTTCATCTGTCCCCATCACTCAAGGTTTATAAAGTGGGGATGGATCACTTTCAGATAAGAATGGTACCATCTACCATCTGGTCTCCATGTGCCTCCCTCCCTCGCTCACAATCCCCTCCCTGACAGACAGATCCATACTGTAGACATGTCTTGGTGAACACAAAGCGGTGGGTGTCAGGGTGAGAGACACATGGTGTTGGAGATGGCATCGGAATGTCAATGTCTGATTTCCTCTGAAGCCTCCAGCTGGGCAGGAATGCCTGCTGTACTGTAGTGCACTGTGGGGTACTGTGGGGTACTGTAGTGCACTGTGGGGTACTGTAGGGTACTGTAGGGTACTGTGGGGTATTGTAGGGTACTGTGGGGTACTGTAGTGTATTGTACTGTAGTGTACTGTACTGTACTGTGGGGTACTGTAGTGTACTGTACTGTAGTGTACTGTGGGGTACTGTAGTGTATTGTACTGTAGTGTACTGTAGTGTTGTGTATTGTAGTGTTGTGTAGTGTACTGTAGTGTACATTTTACATTTACATTTTAGTCATTTAGCAGACGCTCTTATCCAGAGCGACTTACAGTTAGTGAGTGCATACATTTGTTTCATACTGGCCCCCCGTGGGAAACGAACCCACAACCCTGGCGTTGCAAGCGCCATGCTCTACCAACTGAGCTACAGGGGGTGTAGTGTAGTGTAGTGTTTTGTATTGTACTGTAGTGTAGTGTAGTGTACTGTAGTGTAGTGTATTGTGGTGTACTGTACTATAGTGTACTGTAGTGTACTGTAGTGTATTGTACTATAGTGTACTATAGTGTACTGTAGTGTATTGTAGTGTACTGTAGTGTATTGTAGTGTACTGTAGTGCTGCAATTTAGTGTCAGTGCGTTTCAGTGGAGAAGAGTGGTGGTCATCTTCACACACTCAGGACCCAGAGGTTCCTAAAAATATGGTCCTAGTTCCTTTCCACACCTATAGTAGCTTAACACATGGCTGCTATTTATTTATTTATTTTTGTTATACACAAAGTACTCCAGGAATAGTTTCTTACA